TAATGGCCAATAGCGAGTTTCACACTGTGTGTGTGTGTGTGTGTGTGTGTGTGTGTGTGTGTGTGTGTGTGTGTGTTTTGTTTCATCAAAGGAAATTCAACAGGTGCCAATTTACCAGTATTAGGCTACCATTATAGGACGTTATAAAATATACTGCGCCGGAATAGATTTTAGCCTATAGGAAAACCAACACGGAAAACACTTTTCAGACTGGATGGAGAAATGGCTTTATGAATGAATGAATGAATAGGGCATTTATATAGCGCTTTCATATATGCCCACACTCAAAGTGCTTTACAATCATATCAGAGAATCTCTCCTCAACCATAAGTGGTTATTAAATCTTAGGAAATCACAGGATCCGGCCAAATGATTGGATACAGAATGATGCACTTAAAATGTATCCAGAGCGTATTTACGTTGAAGAGGGAGACCGAACGGTTACTGTTGTGTTTTCGACCCAGATAGTGTTGACTAGACGAGCACGAAAACACCTCAGAAACACTGCCACTAGCACGTGTGACATGTGTAGAATTTTGTTGAAAGCCCAGATAAAAGTAAAAAGCTACTATTTTGGGTTTATCCATGGCAGTTCGACTTCACACACACACACACACACACACACACGCTCTGAGCCAGTGGACGTGCACTGTTATGAATGCACAATGTTTCGACTTTAATCTCGAAATGCTACTTTTTTTTATTATTTTTTTACAGATTTTTTTTTTTACAGATTTTTTTTTTACTGACTTTTTTTTTTTTTTTTTTTAGGTTGCGGTTCAGGGCTTCCGTAATTTCGCTTTTGACGCGCGAATGGATTCAAAGTGTTCACGCGTACAACTAGACACGGTAAGCGTGAATTTGACACGCTATTTGCGTCTGGTGTGAACGCAGCATCAAAGGAGTGATTGATTGGTCGGCCGGGCCTTAATGTCTAATGTCGGGTTGCACTTGAACCAAATCATCTACACAGTTATATAGTTTTCCTATTTAACGAACAACAATTTAGTTATTAGCGTTAGTCTCTAGCCTGAAAGGTCTGATTTAGCCTGTGTACTTTTACAACAGTAACTGTTTTTTTCACAATGACATTTGAGGGTTTTTTTTTTGTGACGGACTAAAGACTAATAATAACAGACTGTTGATCTTTGAACAAAAATATATGGTTGGTTCAGGTTTAAACCAAAACCTGACATCTGCACATGCATTGGTTTGGGTGTTAGATGAGTGGTGGTTGTGGAAAGTTTCTTTCCGGTCATATGTTTCGCCGCTTCCTTTTGCCTTATTTAGTTACTGAATTGTGTTTCGGTTTCATAAATCAACTCGCGTGGTTGGTTCATATTATATACCCACACATCAAATGTGACTAAGCATTTACAGTGGGCCTTAACAACTACATTATATCGAACTTTAAAGGTTTATGATGGTGTTTCCATGAAAAGAGTAAAATTGTGATTGAAGTAAAATATTAAGATATTGATAATCAAAGGGGGGTTTTTTCAGACACTTTTTTTAAAGATAGTTTTCTTAATATTACTTAATACCTGACTTACATTTAGCCAGAGGTGGGTAATCCAGGGGTCAAATAGTAAAAGTCCTGCCATATGTTTATTCCACCTAACACTTTATTTTAATAGTCCACTTTAGACATTCAACTAACTATAAGTAACTTTGCCAATACATGTCAACTAACTATCATTTGAGTATCAGTAGACTGTCAGTTTTATATCTGCTAATAGTTTAATTTGTTGGTCCCCCAACAGATATTCAATTGACTATAAGTAACTACAAGTTAACTTATTCTCCTAACCCAAAGCTTAACACCTAACAGTCTACTGACAGTCCACTATAGCCTACTAATACTCTAATTACAGTTAGTCGACATGTGGCTGAAAAGTTACTTATAGTTAGTAGAATGTCTAAAGTGACTATCTATCGAAATAAAGTGTAACCAAACTCGGTCAGCTGATTTCACGTTTTCCATTACGCGAGATTAGATATTAAAACTTCATGCTGATTTATACTCGGCTTTCGTCAAGACTGAGACGTAGCTTTACAGTAACCCATGCTTCCCCATCCATTTACGCTTCTTTCCTTATGGCGATGTGAATCTCGTTCTGTCCGATGTTAACGGCTGCACACACGACGGCCCATTTGACTAAGGCTGTTGAGCCCCACTCTCTTTGTTAAAGTGCGTTCAATGGAAAAATTAGTAATTAGTTCTGTTTCCTGTCTGAATTAGCTAATCCAGGTGATGGGAACAAAACACTGAGGAGGACTTTTACTTTGTATTGCATGTAGCAATGCCACATGTCAGCCAAGAGCAAAGAATAAACCACAACTGGACCTTATCGTAGCCAAAAGATCTGTGTATATTAAATATGGAGTAATTTCAGCCACAGCCTTAGATGAAATCAGCTGAAGAGAAAAGAAGATCTCAGCAGAGGAGGATTAAACAAAACTCCACAAACACATTTTGAGCGCCCCCAAGTTGTGTTTTACTGTAACTTCAGAAGTACCAGACATGTGAGCAAACCCGCCAATCTCGTTGGTCGGATAGGTTTGAAACCAAAAAAACTAACCCGAGGCGTTTTTTTTTAAAAATGACGCCCGTTTTTCGCGTCGGTGTGATGTTGATTCCTGTGATTAAGGATAAAGCAGGAAAAGTGGCTCCCTCAGACAACTATAGACCCATCGCCCTAGCTAATATATTATCAAAAGTTGTGGAATTAATTATTTTCGAGAGGATTAATGAATTAATTGTTTCTGCAGATAATCAATTTGGTTTTAAACCAAAACATGGTACGGGCATGTGCATATATGTCCTGAAGGGAATTACTAAGCAACTGTAAGAGAAAAAATTCAACTGTTTTTATATGTTTTTTAGATGCATTCGATCGGGTGAATCATTGGAAATTATTTAGAAAATTGGATGCAGTATGCCCAACAGACCATGCAAGTGAAATGGGACACCTGTATGTCAGCACCTTTTCATATCAGTAATGGTGTAAGACAAGGGAGAATCTTACCCCCCATTTTATTCAATTTTTACACGAATGAGTTAGTCGGTAGTACAGTGATGAACCATCTAATGTATGCAGATGATTGCGTGATTTTTTGCCCGATCTTCTTAGTATATGTTCTGCGTTTGGGGATGTAAAGTACAACGACTCTAAAAGTGTCATCATGATTTGCAGAACTGCATATCCTGTTTTTAGGCTCGCAGGTATCTGCAGTAAAGTGAAATATCTGGGTCATATTATTACAGATCAGCTTACAGATGACAATGACATAAATCGTCAGTGCCGTATGCTGTATGTGCGGGCAAATGCTCTGGTACGCAGATTTGGTTGCTATAAAAAAGCATACACAACACTGTGTCTTTCAACGGCTTCAACATTTTAAAGTTAGTGTTTTTCTTCAAAAAATTAAAGATGGTTTTCTTAATACCTGACTTAGTTTAGTAAATTCTTTTGTCTAAAAAAGCTCACAATTGCGTGTGTTATTCCCTACATTACAGAGACCCAATGTCCCCACAGGTATAGTAATACCAGTAGATTTTGACCTTCTGGGCAGTGTTGTAGTACTCGAGACTCGGACTCGTCTCGGACTCGGTCTCGAGACCATATTTTAATGGTCTTGGTCTTGTCATGGACTCGTGTCCATTTGGACTCGGAATTGACTCGAACATTTTTTTTTTTAGGACTCGGAATTATTCCCGAGTCCACTCGAGTTCAATTAAAAATATTTTTCATGATTATTAATGTATGTTAATAAAATATTTCTTTAAATTGATTGACACGCCCAGTGATTGGTGATTTTCTAGTGCGCAACTGCGCATGACAAATTGTAATAAAATTACTTTTAACACCACCTACTATGTGGCCTTTTTACCCTAAACTGATCATATTTTTTAAACTCTAAGTAAATTCAGTAAAAAAAAAAAAAAGGATTTCTCTAAGTAAATAAAAGTAAATTAGGTAATCAACCCTCACTGGTCTCGGTCTCGAAACGGACTCGACCGTCTCTGGTCTCGGACTCGACTCGGATTCGAGTGAGGTGGTCTCGACTACAACACTGCTTCTGGGGCACAAATGTTACCCAACCAAAGTCTTTTTAAGGCGATATAAGTCCGACATTGAAGTGAACTGCTGTTTCTGTCACTCTTCCGAGGAAGACGTCATTCATTTGTTTTGGCAATGTACCCACACAGAGAAATTTTGGTCAGATTTGTTAACTTTTATCCAATCCTATTTTATAAGTGACTTTTCTTTCTGTTTTAAAGATGTTTTCTTTGGTTTGTTTGACTACTCAAAAGAGAAAACAGGACAATATTACATTATTAATTTGTGTTTCCTTCTAGCTAAATTTCATGTACATAAGCAAAAATTTACTGGTTCGAAACCTCTCTTTTCTTTATTCAAAGATGATTTAGAGAGATACATGGAAACTATCCAAAGTTCTGTTAATCCCAAAGCAATGAAAACTGTATCTATATATTCATCCTTTATGTCCTCTTAAGGTGAATGCACCGCATTCTTGCTTTTATGTTACCCTGGCAACTTATTTGTGTCTGTGTATTTTGCTGTAATTTTTTTTTTCTTTTATATACAGTATGTTTGTATGTATTGCTTTAATGTTTAATAAAAAAAAAAAACACTGCTTCTGGGGTCATTTTTTTAGGTCTCCATGTGGAACCAATCTTATAAATCATACAGAATGATGTTTTTGAGAACGTAAAACTGCAGAAAGTTGTGTGTGATGGGCAGGTTTATGAGTCGGGTGAGTGTAAGAGATATAACACACCGTTTGTACAGTATGAACAGCATTATGTCTAAAACGTGTGTGTGCACATGTATTGGTTTGTGTGTTAGATGAGTAGTGTTCTTGTGGAAAGTCTGTGGTTTAGATACCCCCATCAGTCGCTTCCTTTTGTCTCTTTTCACCAAAGTCTGTGGTTTATATACCCCCATCAGTCACTTCCTTTTGTCTCTTTTCACCATAGTCTCTCATGTGAAGCGCTTCAAATACAGCTGCGCAAATTCTGGAGGAGGTTTATCTTCAGTCGATCTTCAGGTGAGAAATACTTTTCATTACAGTTCTTATGATTGGGAAATGCTTGTAAACAATTAGTCTTTGACTGATGCTTGTAATTGAACTCTGATCAAATCTAGAATTTTTATTTTTGTTTTTGAATGTAAGCTATCTGTTAAATGCCGTAAGGTTCTGAAACAATGTTAAAGCTTTATCTAAGAAACAGACTCGAATTAATGTTGATTTTTTGAAAGACATTAAGAAATTACAGAAGATGTGGTTCTGCTTTCTATCACAGATCAATTACACCTCACTTCAGACTTTCTACTAACTATAAGTAACTTTTCAGCTACATTGTCAACTAACTGTCATTAGAGTATCATTAGATGGTACTGAACTGTCGGTAGACTCTTGGGGTTCGGGTTAGGAGAATAAGTTGACTTGTAGAGTGTCTGTTGGAGGAGCAACACAATAAAGTTGTCTAAAGTGGACTATCAAAATAAAGTGGAATTAAAACGGGTTTATAAAACAATTGTGGATGTAATATTGCAATAAAGTGTTACCCTTGTTTCATACAGCATTAACTAAGTTATTGAACATTTATGTGCTGCGTCTGAACTCTGTTTTTCGTCATTTCCTCTTTAATACTATGAATGAAATTGTACTGTGAACACTTAAAACTTGGGTTTGCATGTTAATACCACAATGCATCCTGTTTTCTTTCAGCACTGAATCATGAATAACATCACAGTAACATGTGGAGACATTCATACCTCTCTGGGGTTCCTGTATGTGGTTTCATTTGCTGTCGTCAGTCAATCTCTCGATGACTGTGAGCAGAGCTGGTTCTCAGAGGTGACACACACAAACAAACATGCACACACACAATGACTGGGCAAAGAAATACAACAGAAAATGACCAAAATATTCAGGTAGAAACTGTCAAAACGGCAATCAAATTATCCAATGATTTTAAAGGGTTCGTTCACCCAAAAATGAAAATTCTGTCAGTATTTACTCACCCTCATGTTGTTCCAACCCCGTAAGACCTTCGTTCATCTTCGCAACACAAATTAAGATATTTAAGATATTAAGATCGCTCCTGCATACAGTCCATAGGCTTCTTGAGGGAATGACTCTTGCTGTCCCCGAAAAGTCATTAAAGACATCGTTAAAATAGTCCAAGTGACTACAGGGGCTCAATCTTAAGTTTATCAAACGACGAGAACACTTTTGTGCGCAAAAAAACAACAAAAATAACGACTTTATTTCAACTATTCACTTCCTTCTCCATGAGCCTGTAGTCAGTTAACGTAGTGTGATAGCGTAGAGCTACGTCACACGTAGGCTCACTATTGGCCGACGCTGGTCATGTGTGTGTGATGCGTGTGACGTACAATAACAGAAGCTTATGCTATTAAACTAGTAACCTGACTCGCGCAGAGGGAGAAATAAACCAATAGTTGAAATAAAGTCGTTATTTTTGTTGTTTTTTTGCGCACAAAAGTGTTCTCGTCGTTTGATAAAGTTAAGATTGAGCCCCTGTAGTCACTTGGACTATTTTAACGATGTCTTTAATGACTTTTCGGGGACAGCAAGAGTCATTCCCTCAAGAAGCCTATGGACTGTATGCAGGAGCGATCTTAATATCTTAAATATCTTAATTTGTGTTGCGAAGATGAACGAAGGTCTTACGGGGTTGAACAACATGAGGGTGAGTAAATACTGACAGAATTTTCATTTTTGGGTGAACTAACCCTTTAACTCTTGATAAAAACTTATGCATTCAATGTCAACAGTAAAAATAAACAGGTTTAAGTGCAAAAAGTTCCCAATATACTGTAAATGTGATCGGAATAAGCAGCGTAAAGCACATATGCATAACCTTACTGTAACATTTTAAAACCAGACTAAAGACATTTGCAAAAAAAGGCCTAAAAGTATTGCAGCAAATGCAATCCCTCCTCCTCTCTCTGACTGAAGCGTTTCATTTAGCGATCAATGCGTATCCCACTGTTTTACACACACATACATGACACTGGGCCCTATTTTAACTATATGAGGCCACGTTTACACCAGTGGCGTAAAAAGTGGCAGAAATTTAGTTTTGGGTGGGCCAGTGAAAATGTGAGTGGGCCTATAGTTTTTCATAGAAAAAAAATTACTTCAATAATAATTAACTTTAAAAAGTAGAAAAATTCATAGACAAACTGCAAAACCAGTATATTTGTATTCGGCAAATCATCATGTTCAACCAACAGAGCTCTATAAAGGCTGGATAAACCAGTAGACAATAACCTGTCTATTTTATTCAGGCTAATCAGCGGTGTAAAGACAGTTCACCCAAAAGTAAAGTAAGCTAAAATATTAACCCTTGTGCATCCTTATGGACATTTTTGTCCTTTTCAGTTTTGTTATTTATTGGAATTTTACTATTTTACCGTCATTTTCTTAAAAAAATATTTTTTGCATTAGGTACAAAAAATACTCCCTCTCAGCACCTTTTGGACAAAAATGTCCCCATTGAAAACTGCCATTTTTTATCCCCGGTTCAGTTAACTATAAAATTATGCAATCTTTGTTAAGAGGCTTTCATTCTGATGGCAAGGCTTCAAAATTTTATTTTTTACTTTTTTTATCAGATGGTGCCATTTTTTAAAGTTTGGCCTATAAAACAAATATCGCTTTATTCCTGTTTTCTGGTTCGGCATATTATAGAGCCAACTGGATAAATTATGCAACAATATTTGTGTGGGTGTGTTGGTATGGATGTCAGAGTGTGGTTAGTATGTGTGTTATAAAAAAAATATGTAATACTGAGAGAGAAAAACTGCAAATTCAAATCCAATCAATGTGAGCTCCAGTGGGGTTTTGCTGGGACCCAATGGGGAAAATGTGTTACTACGCCCAAACAAACCGTTACCGAAAGCTCATTTTTTGAGATATCATCCTCAAATTTGGAACACAACCTATTTAGATTTATGGCTTTGATTTTATTACAGTTTTGAGTTCAACCTGATTTATAAAATATATATTTTACATAAAATATTTTTTATAAATAATTTTCATAAACTTATACCTATATAACTTTTTTGGGGGGATTTTTACTTCAGCAATAATCTGCAAAGGGTCTTCTTTAAAATTATACCAAACTTATGTCTGTGCTCCAAAGCGTCACATTTTTATGACAGTTTTTTGACATGGACATTTTTGTCCTCTTTTTACCTATGTGTAACTTTTTTTTAATTGATGCACAGGGGTTAATAATAATAAAATCGTAGTTAGATCGGCGGGTAAACCCGTGTCAGGCTGATCGGAAGAGGGAGAGAGAAGCGGCCGCCGCCAGCACCTGACTAACCTTCTTGTGGGTTATTGAGTCTGAAGAACTGGGCTCTGTGGACTCGGTAGATGAAGGCAGTGGCGTGTCTTCTTCCTCAACTCTCGCTTTTTACAAATAGTTGTTTATCCATTATTATGGCGCCAGTGAGTTTTCCTGTCGGAACCCCCTGCAACCATAGCAACCAATAACGTTCCGGAGAGGGAGGCTTTCTATAACTTGCTTCGACAGTTCCATTTTATTTGGGAAACTAATTAAACACACACAGCAGTCAACAATAAATCAGGTATATATTAATATATTTTCTTAAATACATTTGAATTATAAAAACAAACTAAATTTTTTTTTTATCAAATTTGCCTCGGCGAATTTATCAATACTGGCTACGTCCCTGGTTTACACAAAGCCTGGTATTTAGCAAAACGAATATTTTCCCCCTCTCTGTTTTCAATAATAACATCCCAGATAGCAAACTGACATTGAATCAACGTGGAAATATGACATCGAAACAACGTTGATCTGACATTGTTTTGCTCATCGAATTAACGTTGAACCAACGTCAGACGCGTCATTCTTTCAAAACTAACGGAAAATCAACTTGAAATCAACGCGTTGTTTCAACGTTATGAAAGCAAACCAATTTTCGATTTTCATTTAGCTTTGAAGAATGCCGCGTCTGACGTTGGTTCAACGTTAATTCGATGAGCAAAATCAACGTTGTTTCAATGTCATGAGAGACGTCGTTTCCACGTTGATTCAATGTCAGTTTGCTATCTGGGATCGTTCACACACCCGCATAAATAGTGTAGGGGTTAAGGATAAAGCCATGCAAGCCAATCAGAATTGACAAGAGAGAACCTAAAACGCCGTTTCTCCCAGTTCACACGACAACACATAACCGGCGTTTCCAGAAATCTCCACTTTGGCCGTAGTTTTTAGAAATAACCGTTTTCTGTGATAAAAACGGGGTTTTCGTGTAAACGAGAGGCCAATCAGTGGGGAAATATCTGCGTGGCCTTACGGGACCTTAAACGCAACTATCAAGCGCGAAGCGCGAGTAAGGCCTCGTTTACACTGCATGGTTCAAGTGAATCAAATCCGATTTTTTTCCTGTCATGTGGCACAGATCGGATATAACGTGTAAGCAGGAAAAAAACGCATGGATTCCGATTTTCTCAGATCGGATTCAGGCCTCATTCACATGTGGTAATAAATCGAATATGTGCATTTTCGTGTGTTACAGAAATAAATCCGTTTTTGAAGACATTTCACGCGATATGAGGCACCGTTTTAAGTGCTCATGGCCAGAGCCTCTCCTCTTTTTTTCTCCGCCATACTAGACCAACGTTTTGATGACTTATTGAAATATTGTGGAAAGAAAACACTGGATAATTTTATTCGCATCTGCATCCATTGAATTTCGTGCTGTTTTGCTTAATGTCCCGGGTCAGAACGTCTGCATTTGGTAGTTTCAGCAGTGTATAGTGTACATGCAAAAATCGGATATGGGTCACTTTTAAAAGCTTCAACAGAACGATTGTGAATCATTTTAGAAGCACAAATCGATGAGAAAGACTGTTATTTACCCAGCTAAGTGTTCCAGGTCATTCTGTGTACTCAGATACTCACTTCTATGACATTTCTACTAATAATCATCTGTTTGTGAATGTAACCTCAGTTTCGTCGTGTTCTGTTACTGACAGTTTGATTGTCTTGTGTTTGATTTGATCAGTATGGACTTAAGATCGCTGATCCATCCGTTCCTGAAACACTGATTGATCCTGTTATTTCGGTCTCAACGGATCGTCTCGTCACGTCTCGCTGTGTGAATCTGAATCATGAGATCATCTGTGATTCTGCGAAATCTGTAAAACGACTTAGAATTTTCTCTCAATGCATTTATATTCTCATAACATACACCTGAGGATTATTTTCTTACCTGTACAGATGCATCAGAAGCATTAATCCTTTATGAACATTATAAATGATGATCTAATGATTCTTTCTTTTATTTCAGCTTCATTATAGTCATGTGAGCATGTTCAGAGGTGAGAGAAATGTTTCAACTATCAGCATTTATAGAGAATTGTTGAACAAACTCGGTGTTGAACTGAGTCTTATGTGCTTTAAGTTAAATTTACATTGTAATGTGTTTATATGGAAACATTCAGGATTTTGAATCGCTGACAGCTCCAGATATTTAGCATGCCAAATATCTCACAGGCATCCGCAACACATTGTTGATTCTCTCAGATCGTGTCCTTGTGTGATTGTCACTCATGTGAACGAGCAAGGATTTGCCTCTGATTTCGGGCATTTGTCTGACATTTTGCAAGTGAATATATTGTGGGCTAAAATTGTGCAGTGTGAACTCGGCATAAGCCTGTGGCCAGAAGTTAGTCGTAGTTCATGTGTTCATTCTTGAAAAACGAAGACAATTTGATGGTCAAATGTCAAACGAACGATCAAATCAAGATTGCACAGTGTGAACCCAGCTTTACACACCCTGCTGGTGCTGAAAACATAGAGCAAGGTTGAAGGATAGTTCACTCCAAAATGAAAATAAGCCCATGATTTACTCACCCTCAAGTCATCCTAGGCGTATATGACATTCTTCTTTCAGACGAATACAATCAGAGTTATATATATAAAAAAATGTCCTTCCAAGCTGATAATGGGAGTGAATTGCAACCGACATTTTGAAGCTCAAAAAGTGGATCTATCCATCATAAAAGTGCATCTATCCATCATAAAAGTGCATCTATCCATCATAAAAGTGCATCTATTCATCATAAAAGCGCATCTATTCATCATAAAAGTGCGTCTCTCCATGATAAAAGTGCATCTATCCATCATAAAAGTGCATCTATCCATCATAAAAGCGCATCTATTCATCATAAAAGTGCGTCTCTCCATGATAAAAGCGCATCTATCCATCATAAAAGTGCATCTATCCATCATAAAAGCGCATCTATTCATCATAAAAGTGCGTCTCTCCATGATAAAAGTGCATCTCTCCATGATAAAAGTGCATCTATCCATCATAAAAGCGCATCTATTCATCATAAAAGTGCGTCTCTCCGTGATAAAAGTGCATCTATCCATCATGAAAGCGCATCTATCCATCATGAAAGCGCATCTATCCATCATAAAAGTGCGTCTATTCATCATAAAAGTGCGTCTCTCCATCATAAAAGTGCATCTATTCATCATAAAAGTGCATCTATCCATCATAAAAGCGCATCTATCCATCATAAAAGTGCATCTGTCCATCATAAAAGTGCATCTATCCATCATAAAAGTGCATCTGTCCATCATAAAAGTGCTTCTCTTCATCATAAAAGTGCATCTCTTCATCATAAAAGTGCATCTATCCATCATGAAAGTGCATCTGTCCATCATGAAAGTGAAACTGTCCATCATAAAAGCGCATCTGTCCATCATAAAAGTCCATCTGTCCATCATAAAAGTCCATCTGTCCATCATAAAAGCGCATCTATCCATCATAAAAGTCCATCTGTCCATCATAAAAGTCCATCTGTCCATCTTAAACTCCATCTGTCCATCATAAAAGCGCATCTATCCATCATAAAAGTCAATCTATCCATCATAAAAGTCCATCTATCCATCATAAAAGTCCATCTGTCCATCATGAAAGCGCATCTGTCCATCATGAAAGCGCATCTGTCCATCATAAAAGTCCATCTATCCATCATAAAAGTCCATCTGTCCATCATGAAAGCGCATCTGTCCATCATAAAAGAGCATCTGTCCATCATAAAAGTGCATCTGTCCATCATAAAAGTGCATCTGTCCATCATGAAAGCGCATCTATCCATCATAAAAGTGCATCTGTCCATCATAAAAGTCCATCTGTCCATCATAAAAGTCCATCTGTCCATCATAAAAGTGCATCTGTCCATCATGAAAGCGCATCTATCCATCATAAAAGTGCATCTGTCCATCATAAAAGTGCATCTGTCCATCATAAAAGTGCATCTGTCCATCATGAAAGCGCATCTATCCATCATAAAAGCGCATCTGTCCATAATAAAAGCGCATCTATCCATCATAAAAGTCCATCTGTCCATCATAAAAGTGCATCTGTCCATCATAAAAGTGCATCTATCCATCATAAAAGCGCATCTGTCCATCATAAAAGTCCATCTGTCTATCATAAAAGTGCATCTGTCCATCATAAAAGTGCATCTGTCCATCATAAAAGTGCATCTGTCCATCATAAAAGTGCATCTGTCCATCATGAAAGCGCATCTATCCATCATAAAAGTCCATCTGTCCATCATAAAAGTGCATCTGTCCATCATAAAAGTCCATCTGTCCATCATAAAAGTGCATCTGTCCATCATAAAAGTGCATCTGTCCATCATAAAAGTGCATCTGTCCATCATAAAAGTCCATCTGTCCATCATAAAAGTCCATCTGTCCATCATAAAAGTCCATCTGTCCATCATAAAAGTCCATCTGTCCATCATAAAAGTGCATCTGTCCATCATGAAAGCGCATCTATCCATCATAAAAGCGCATCTGTCCATCATAAAAGCGCATCTATCCATCATAAAAGTCCATCTGTCCATCATAAAAGTGCATCTGTCCATCATAAAAGTGCATCTGTCCATCATAAAAGTGCATCTATCCATCATAAAAGTGCATCTGTCCATCATAAAAGCGCATCTACCCATCATAAAAGCGCATCTGTCCATCATAAAAGCGCATCTGTCCATCATAAAAGTCCATCTATCCATCATAAAAGCGCATCTGTCCATCATAAAAGCGCATCTGTCCATCATAAAAGTCCATCTGTCCATCATAAAAGTGCATCTGTCCATCATAAAAGTGCATCTGTCCATCATAAAAGTGCTTCTGTCCATCATAAAAGTCCATCTGTCCATCATAAAAGTGCATCTGTCCATCATAAAAGTGCATCTGTCCATCATAAAAGTGCATCTGTCCATCATAAAAGTGCATCTGTCCATCATAAAAGCGCATCTACCCATCATAAAAGCGCATCTGTCCATCATAAAAGTGCATCTGTCCATCATAAAAGTGCATCTGTCCATCATAAAAGCGCATCTGTCCATCATAAAAGTCCATCTGTCCATCATAAAAGTGCATCTGTCCATCATAAAAGTGCATCTGTCCATCATAAAAGTGCATCTGTCCATCATAAAAGCGCATCTGTCCATCATAAAAGCGCATCTGTCCATCATAAAAGTCCATCTATCCATCATAAAAGCGCATCTGTCCATCATAAAAGCGCATTTGTCCATCATAAAAGTCCATCTGTCCATCATAAAAGTGCATCTGTCCATCATAAAAGTGCATCTGTCCATCATAAAAGTGCATCTGTCCATCATAAAAGTGCATCTGTCCATCATGAAAGCGCATCTATCCATCATAAAAGCGCATCTGTCCATCATAAAAGCGCATCTATCCATCATAAAAGTGCATCTGTCCATCATAAAAGTGCATCTGTCCATCATGAAAGCGCATCTATCCATCATGAAAGCGCATCTATCCATCATGAAAGCGCATCTATCCATCATAATGATTGTATTTGTCTGAAAGAAGAAAGTCATATACACCTAGGATGACTTGAGGGTGAGTAAATCATGGGCTAATTTCAATTTGAATTTTCAATTATTTTAACTCTGTAATTCTGATGTCTGTGAATGTACTTTTCAGTGAGGAATGAAACTGCAGCGACTCCAGGTGAGTTTCACCTGATAAATGTGTTTGTAAAAATGTAAAAATGATAAAAAATGTCTGCTAAGTTGTCTGTCATTGTCTGATATTTGTGATCGTTGTGTGTTTCAAAGACGTTCCGAATGAAGTGACCCCGTCTCTCCTGCTCTCAGGTCAAACATCAAGAGCTTTAAACATAAACTCTAATATTGATTTATCATTCTTACACATCAGCTGATTGGATATTTAATCACTTGTATAGAGTATTGGTGGCTGTTCATCATCATCTTCATCATCCTTTTCATCGGTTTTATGCTGTGTAAAAGGACCTTCAGGTGAGTCCAGAAGCTTTAATTGTGTCAGAAACTAAAACTAAAATATTTTATTCATGTGTCGGTAACAAACACAATAAAGGTGAAATAATAATAAATTAATAAGTGTCATTCTGTTTTCAGATGTTTTCCAAAGGTAGCACAGTCTGTCTGTCAGCGCAATGATTCAGAGAACGGGTGAGTGAATCAAACTGAATCTGAATCACTTTAAGAGCTGTTGTTGTTTTAATGTACAGATGAGGCGGAGCTTTATAAATATGAATGTTTAAATGAATCTAATTCTCACAGGGATCTTGAATCTGGTGACCAAACAAAGGTCAGATCTGATGCTCCTGATTCACTGAATCTGATCAGTTCAGCGGTTCAGTGTCCAGAGGATGATCATGATTCTCGGGTCATTTTGTTATTGACTCAAACCCGGGGCTGAAGTGTTTCTGTCATCTACATTTGTTACTGTATAAATCACGAACTCACGAATACCAGGCATTTTCGGTCCAGAACTTGCTTTCTGCACTAAATTGTAAAGAATTGATGCCAGGTTCTTCATTGTTATTGTTTAAAATATGAAAAAATATGAAAATATGAAAAATGAAAAAAATTAGATGTAGATGTAGTAGTAGAAAGTAGATTGTGCCAAATCTCCATTCAAATTAATGAAGTGAAACAGCTTAGTCTTTTATTCACTTTTTTAAATGCTTTATTTAGTGACAAATCAACCAACATACAGAAAACCAACAGCAAAAAAATCTATAATATATCCTGTGTTACATCCTGTTTACAGATTTTGTTATATGTGCAAACGAATTACATTTTGGGAAAGGATTGCAAAGCAGTTTGCGTGCAAGTATGGAATAGAGATCAGCCAAAATAAAACTCTGAGAATCCAGCGTTGACTCTTTTTAATGTTATTTATTTATTATTATTATTATTGTATATAATCAGAAAGGTCCTGTTGAGATGTAAGAAATTCTAGTCTGCCTCGATTCAGATTTTACTGTATAAACTATTTTAGAATGAGCTCATCCCCAAAATGGCCTAATTATCAGAGATAAAGGAAGTCAAGATATATTGTTTCTTCACCATTTGGGTTGATCACATCCTGAGCAAATGGTCATCATCAACTGTACAATGGGAATGAGTGTGGGGACACAGAGAACCGTCTAAGACAATGGGATGTCTCAACTTCATTAACATACGGACCACAACGGTTAAAACAAGGGCAACTTCATTTACATTAAGAGCTATAAACTGTAACAGGGTAAAAGTTTTAAGATTCGGATGTTCTGGGTTCATTCTGACGCCCTTGAACCTAAGGTGCTTGGCCTACTTTGCCACTGCTATGCTGTTATAAACTTCAACGTCCACATCATGTTTTCTTACAATGACGACCCCTTAGCGATCGCAGAGCTTTGTCTTGTCTTTGCTGCAGAATATATAAATGCATTCATCCTGCTTCTGAGTGATCACCAACCACACACTACCGGACTTTCAGTCTGCTGATATATAATGTACACTCACCTAAAAGATTATTAGGAACACCATATTACCACTGTGTTTGACCCCCTTTCGCCTTCAGAACTGCCTTAATTCTACTTGGCATTGATTCAACAAGGTGCTGAGAGCATTCTTTAGAAATGTCGGCCCATATTGATAGGATAGCATCTTGCAGTTGATGGAGATTAGGGTTAGGGTTAAGCTCCCGTAGACTATAAACTATAAAATAGTTTATACAGTAAAATCTGAATCGAGGCACTTTATCTTCACTTTATAATACGAATCCAAATAATTAGTAATTCCCACAGAAGTATCTAGTAACACTTTCATCTGTGAGCTATTACTTACTAATTCGTTAATAAGAGTTTATTTTAGTTAATAGTAGTTACTAGATTGTTAATAAACTTTTTCAGTAGTTCTCTGGGAAGTATTAAAAAAATAGTAGTTATTGATTACTTAATAGTGAACTACCACTTTCGTCTGTGCGCTATTACTTACTAGTTCGTTAATCAGAGTTTCTTGTTAGTTAATAATAGTTACTAGATTGTTAATATTGTGTTACTCATTAGTTCTTGTGTAGTTATTCATTAACGAAGGAACCGTATTCTAAAGTGTTACCAAAAAAATATATATAAAAAACTAAGATTTATCTGGTGTCCTCAACCCATGCGTTGCTATGATTGGCTGTACTCATGACGTCACTGAGGTCGAGTCGCGCGACGGCTCTGGATATCTAGCATGGCTCTTTCATACTAACAGATTGGCAAGCGTTCATCGCCCGCTAATCCCCCGCGATTTGCACGCGATAACACCCTGACCTGTCGGCGAGCTCAACGATTTGCAAATCGGTCATAAATCGGGCTTAAAATCCTGTAGTGTGAACTTGGCTTAAGGGTCCTAAAGTGTGCCAAGAAAACATCCCCCACACCATTACACCACCACCACCAGCCTGCAGTGGGAACAAGGCATGATGGATCCATGTTCTCATTCTGTTTACGACAAATTCTGATTCTACCATCTGAATCGAGACTCATCAGACCAGGCAACATTTTTCCAGTCTTCAACTGTCCAGTTTTGGTGAGCTCTTGCAGATTGTCGCCTCTTTTTTCCTATTTGTAGTGGAGATGAGTGGTACCCGGTGGGTCTTCTGCTGTTGTAGCCCATCCGCCTCAAGGTTGTGTGTGTTGTGTCTTCTTCACAAATGCTTTGCTGCATACCTCGGTTGTAACGAGTGGTTATTTCAGTCAAAGTTGCTCTTCTATCAGCTTGAATCAGTCGGCCCATTCTCCTCTGACCTCTAGCATCAACAAGGCATTTTCGCCCACAGGACTGACCCATACTGGATGTGTTTCCCTTTTCACAGCATTCTTTGTTAAAACGTAGAAATGGTTGTGTGTGAAAATCCCAGTAACTGAGCAGATTGTGAAATACTCAGACACCAACAACCATGCCACGCTCAAAATTGCTTAAATCACCTTTCGTTCCCATTCTGACATTCAGTTTGGAGTTCAGGAGATTGTCTTGACCAAAACCACACCCCTAAATGCATTGAAGCAACTGCCATGTGATTGGTTGATTAGATAATTGCGTTAATGAGAAATTGAACAGGTGTTCCTAATAATCCTTTATGTGAGTGTATTTAACCACTCTGCAATATATAATTAGGGCCCGAGCACTAACAGTGCGAGGACCCTATTGAATCTGTTAGGATTATTTTTTTTTTCTTTTTGTCTGCAAAGTAAGCGCCATTTTCGGGGCCTCAACATGCTCAAAAACTCACCAAATTTGGCACGCATGTCAGGACTGGTGAAAAATTTCGTATTTTGTGGGTTTCGCGGATGGGCGTGGCAAAATGGCTCCCTAGCGCCACCTAGAAAATTGGAAAAAATTAGCCCCTCGTCCACGTTCAACCTACAAACACGAAATTTGGTGGGGACGTGTATCATATCAAGACGCACAAAAAAGCCTCAAGAACCCATACCCTAAACTCAACAGGAAGTTGGCCATTTTGAATTTGGCGCCCATTTTGGGACGATTTACACACTCAGTACTTTAACGAACTCCTCCTAGGGATTTAGTCGGATCGACTTCAAATTTCTGCTGTGCCTTCTAAAGGCATTGACGATGTAAAGTTGTGCTATATGCGCATTTTCGTCGATGGGCGTGTCCGTGGCGTCGAAGATTCGCCATGAAACAGGAAGTTGTAGTAACTTGGCTGTAAATGCCCAGATCTGCACGAAATTTGGTGGGGACGTGTATCATATCAAGACGCACAAAAAAGCCTCAAGAACCCATACCCTAAACTCAACAGGAAGTTGGCCATTTTGAATTTGGCGCCCATTTTGGGACGATTTACACACTCAGTACTTTAACGAACTCCTCCTAGGGATTTAGTCGGATCGACTTCAAATTTCTGCTGTGCCTTCTAAAGGCATTGACGATGTAAAGTTGTGCTATCTGCGCGTTTTCGTCGATGGGCGTGTCCGTGGCGTCGATGATTCGCCATGAAACAGGAAGTTGTAGTAACTTGGCTGTAAATGCCCAGATCTGCACGAAATTTTACACATTTGACAAGAGTGCCGCCCTGAACAAATCTACATGCTGACATTCACCCACAGTAATAGCGCCACCTGCTGGCAACAGGAAGTGACCTTTAACGAAGCAGCCCCCGTCGCATGTTTGACCGACATGTACGAAATTTCCGTGGCACATCTACCATGTCCAGACGCACTGAAAAGTCTCTTGGAGCGTTGCCCTAAACTCAACAGGAAGTCGGCCATTTCGAATTTTACCGCCATTTTTGGATGATTTACACACTCCGTACTTTAACGAACTCCTCCTAGGGCTTTAGTCGGATCGACTTCACATTTCTGCTGTGCCTTCTAAAGGCATTGACGATGTAAAGTTGTGCTATCTGCGCGTTTTCGTCAATGGGCGTGTCCGTGGCGTCGATGATTCGCCATGAAACAGGAAGTTGTAGTAACTTGGCTGTAAATGCCCAGATCTGCACAAAATTTTACATATTTGACAAGAGTCCCGCCCTGAACAAATCTACATGCCGACATTCACCCACAGTCATAGCGCAACCTAGTGACAGCAGGAAGTGACCTTTAACGAAGCAGTACCCGTCGCATGTTTGACCGACATGTACGAAATTTCTGTGGTACATCTACCATGTCCAGACACACAGAAAAGTCTCTTGGAGCGTTGCCCTAAACTCAACAGGAAGTCAGACATTTCTAATTTTACCGCCATTTTGGGATGATTTACTCATTACGTACTTTAACAAACTCCACCTAGGGATTTAGTTGGATCGACTTCAAATTTCTGCTGTGCCTTCTAAAGGCATTGACGATGTAAAATTGTGCTATCTGCGCGTTTTCGTCGATGGGCGTGTCTGTGGCGTTGAAGATTCGCCATGAAACAGGAAGTTGTAGTAACTCGGCTGTAAATGCCCAGATCTGCACAAAATTTTACACATTTAACAAGAGTCCCGCCCTGAACAAATCTACATGCCGACATTCACCCACAGTCATAGCGCCACCTGCTGCCAATAGGAAGTGACCTTTAATGAAGCAGCGTAGCAAATTCACAGCCGCACCGGCTGAGCTGCAAAATATGCAACGCGGCCGCCTCACACCCCGACGCGCTACAGGTGCGAGGGCCCGCCCATCGCTGCTTGCAGCTTTAATATATATATATAACCACTCTAAAAAATAAAGTCCAGTGTTTATCAGGAAATACCAGGCAGGGGTCTTCTCCTGGCATAAATATGCCAACGCCATCAGTAGTGTAGAGCATAACAACTCACAGTTACTATTCATCAGAAATTCCTTTATTTACTAATGTTCAGCAGTAGTGATGTGTCAAAATGATTGAAGGTGACATTTTGACCCCAGAGAGCGAGTGGGATGAAACGATGGTGGAAAGTCTGACTATGGCTCAAAGAAAACCGCATAGACATGTCAGTTTGACAAAGTTTCTTGGTAAATACGACCTGGGCGAGAGGTGAAGGCAAATAATCATGCGATTGCTCTTTACGTAGACTGGTCGGACTCGGAAACGCTCCAGGTGATTGTGAAAGGCTTTTCGATGGCGTGAGATTGTGCTGTTACATCAAACTGCAACTCCTGAACCTGAGGGAGAGGAAGAGACCGAGTTTGTGATGCAGTTTATCAGACTGAATAAAAGCAACACTGTGTAGTTTTTCAACCTTCATAATATATTTCCAAGACCCATTGCTTTTACTAGCACTACGGAACCTCTGGGTTCGGGTAGGATCCCGAGCACAAAAAGAAGTACAAAATTCGACTGCTTTACGTAAGCGTTACAATAATTATTTTTTTCGTAGTTTCTGATGTTGCAATAC